AACAAGGAGGTACACATGGGTCATAAAGAGGGTAAGATGGAGGAGCTGCAAAACTGTAGGCCAGTTAGCAGCTTTATTTATGTGTTCCAGTAGTTTTCTGGAAATGTGAGCAGTTTTAAGTGAGTAAGAGAGAACATGTAGATTTGTAAAAGAACAATCGTGTCCATCCAATCTAGTATCTCCTTTAACAGAATAGTAGACTCTCGAGATAGACGAGCAACAGTAGATGTTGTGTTTCTCCAGTAAGACATCTGACCCTGCCTCAAGTAACATTGTCATCATCAAGGCAACAAAAGTCATCTAAATGTAACTTCTAATGGGTGGATATTGGACTGGTTTAAAAATTGTGAGGCACTGTTTTTATGAATGTTTCCTGAGCTCCATGCTGTCCTGTGTTCTCTGACTTGTATGAAAACACTGCCGAACTCAAATGAAACTATATGGTAAAACAAGTACTTCCCCTCACTGAAAACTGCTATCATCATAATCCATTAAAAAATGCAAGTCTAGGTCTAATGAAGATAGTGAATCAACATAAAATTTCCTGTTCACTTATATGTGTTCCATAGTCTTGATTGACTTGCTTAAAAATTGCCATTTTGGAAAGACGCGAGTGGTTTCACATTTGATTATTTTGAAGGATGTAGAAGGCACTTTAACAGAAGTTTGACTAGAGCTGCTTAAGACAGATAGCTACGCAAAAAGCTTGCATACTTTTGTTTCTGGATTAGGAACTGTGAGTTGCTGTGTCCTTTTTGGATCTGGAGTTCATTCAGGTTTCAAGGTGGGTATTTACTAATAGGCCCTCCGCCTGTGCTCCTGGCTGATGATAGTTCAGAAATGATGGGCTTTGGTAACCTGTGGTACATTTGAAAATACGAAGACATGTGTGTGCAGTGCTGTTCAAGAATGTAGAGTGTGAAGGCTACTGCATTGCTATGACATGTAGAAATCTTAAACATAAAAATGCCGAAGGCTCATAAGAAATGAAGATCCCCGAGGCTTTCTGTTTATTCCCATCTCTAAATTCCTTCTATGCTTACTGTCATGAAAGATGCCGGATCTTTGTTTCAATAAGCATCTGTTATACTTCTGCTTTTAAATATTCTTTCAGTGTTCTTTCAAATTGTAGTAGAATCAGCAGTCTCTCATTTGTATGTAGAGGAATACAATAACATCTCCATTTGACTCCTGCCAAGCATTGGTGTCATGGGTCATATGTAAATTTTTGCTTTGGCTTTATTTAAATGGAGAGAGAGAAAGAAATGGAGGAAAATTGAGAGAATGGTTTACTTTTTTTTTTCACTATTTTACATTTATTCCTTTTACACAGTTTTTAATACTGAAGGGCATGCTTACTGCAGTCTAAATTTAGACTCTTTGAAGAGCTAAACATATCCTTTTTAGAGATGTGATTTAATACGGGTATTTCCTTCTCTGTCTCTTTCTGAGATTGCTTTACCTAACTGCATTTGCCACAATGACAAGCCGAGCTGCTCCCTTGCATTCATTCTCAGAAATGACAGATCTCAGCTTTCACGTTTTTATGGGTTGCATCCGGGGAACTTTTCCAGTTGTACACAAGGAGCTGGGCAGACTCCTTTGTACTGTAACCAGGATTAGTTAAAAAGAAACAACTGATGGAGCTTTAATAACTGCAGGTCTTCCCTTTGGGAGTTGATTGTATTTCTTTTTGTAAAGGCATGTAATAGAAGGACAAAGATTTAAAAACAGGGTCTGTGCAGACATTTCTCTCTGGAGCTCTGAATGCTCCTAGAGTTAACCAGAGAGGTTTATCTTCTTCAGAACGCTTACGAAAAAGCAGGCCAGAGGCTTTCTGTGTCGTCCTGCTCCGGGATGAGCGGGAGCTTTTCCCAAATGCATTGACACAGGCCATATGGACACTCTCTTCAAAGTAATGTTTTTTACGTTTCTTTGGTGATGTTTGGACTTCAGACTCAGAGGTCTAACAGAGTAACTATTGTGTGGGTGAACATAAATCAGTTAGGTGCTTTCTAGTTAGAGGTCATGTGATTGTTTTTCTCTCAGCACCTTGAAGTGCTTTTCCCTATTGGAGTGTAGATTCTTTTTACTTAATTTCCTGTTTTTCCTTCTGACAGCCTTCTTTTGATTTTAAACTGTGCAGTCAGGCTAAAGACATCGCTGTGGTGATTATGTACCTCTACAGCATAGATATACTCTTCAGTCAATGCAGAGGGTCTCCATGCTGCCCTTAACGTTTAAGTTTACTATTTGTGAAAGCTAAATGAACATCAGTCCACTATCACTTTCCTTAGTTTTTATAAAGTGAAATTTTTTTAATGCTTTTTAAGTCCTGCTCCACAGAGCTTTATAAGAATGTAATACCCACTCTGAAGCTTTATTCCTATTCCTTCACAGGAGCAATGCAATTTCTAAAAGTGCTGTTTGAAATTTAACCATTCATACTCATTGCCCTCAGGCTCCCCAGTCCTGGCAGGTAAGCGAGCAAGCTTGGAGAAAGGATGACCTTCCCTCTGTCGATGTGGATCAGGTTAGGGATCTTTTAAGGAAGCTGGACACCCACAAGTCCATGGGCCCCGATGGAATGCACCCGCGAGTGCTGAAGGAACTGGCAGATGACATTGCTGAGCCACTCTCCATCATCTATGAAAGGTCGTGGAGAACAGGAGAGGTGCCTGA